CTTCGTCCCTCCTGCCAAGGGGATCGCTGCTGCCTACATGTCTGTGATCCTTTGGTGCTCCCAGAACTGGGTGGGCCTCGAAAGAGACCTGTGTTTTTCGTCATTACCGTGATGGCTGATTCTCATGCTCCAAATGCAAATGCTGTTTTCGTGTTTTTAAATATTGATTTTGTGTAATGTAATTTATTTATTTTTTTAAATGGCGCTTTCGTGTTTATTTAAACACGAAAGCACTATTTAAAGTGCTTTTGTGTTTTTATTTAAACCTCTGGTGGTTTCCTAGTGTTTTAAATGGTACTTTAGTGTTTTTAAATATATTGATTGTCTTTTTATATAACTCTCTGGGTTTTTAGTGTTTTAAAATGGTGCTTTCATGTTTGTATATAGTTCTTTTGTGTTCCCAGAATAAAGTTTTACTGCATTTCTGAGCGTTTCTTTTCTTGTCTTTTGGTTTTTTGGATTGTATGCTTTGTTCACTGGATTACCCTCTCGTCTGACCCTTGCCTGTTTTGTTTGCCTGATAATTTGGACTGCCTTACAGTGTTTGACTTTTGCCTGTGACTTGGATTGGATTACTTGGATGTCCCTGATCTCATTTGCATTTACAATGAGGTAAGTGAAGCATTTTGATTAGTCTAATCATAAAGCATTTTAACTACTCCATCACAAGTCAAAATTTCAATGTTTTTTCTTTTATAAAGTAAGTTTCTTAAATTTATATTTTTATTTGATTACACCGTTTAACTGACAGTTTAAAATATCTTCAATGCCGAGACAGATGAGTGCAGACTTGTAGATGTGTAAAGAACATGTTTAACCAGTTATTCTACAGCTTTTGTAAACTGTTAAACATTCTTTTGTTTGTTAGCAAAGTCAAGTCAACCGTTCATCTTCTGTCAAGCAGAGAATCAACTTCTCAAAGGGAAGGTATGTTTCTGCTAGGGCTGAACGATTTTGGAAAATAATCTAATTGCGATTTTTTTTAACCAATATTGCGATTGCGATTTAATATGCGATTTAAAAAAAAGTTCTTTACCTTCTGTATTAGTCGACAAAGACAAGCAATAAATAATTGTAGAGTAGGTATGGGAATCTTTAGATAGCTCATGATCAGATCTAATTAATTAATCTTAATAACTCTTAAAATATGTATTTAATTACATGTGTAAAAACACATACTTTAAAAAATAAAAATTAAACCAATTACATGTTAAGAATTTTAAATAGGCTATATAAAATAATATAGCTTCAAAATATAAAAGCTAGTAAATAAAGAGAAACAAAAAAAGCATTACAAGCAATAAAGAAAGAGTGGTCTCTGTATTTAAAAATAGGCTGTCTGAATGTTTTTCATTCAAGAGCTGGAGTGATTTCCCCCCGAGTTGATATGATGAGCTGCATTCACACTAATGCATATCTCTTTTGAAATTGTAAATGTGGTTTGTCCTGTTGGTTTAAGATATAACTGACCGTGTTTACATTAATTTCGCGTCATAAAAGCATTTTGACATGCAAACATTTAACCAATGAGTCGCTCACGGCCGCATGCACGAGCGCTCTTCACAAAGCACGCGTTAGTATTTTAAAATGAAAGCAGCCTTCTCGGTGATTTTCATGGTTTTAATATATAAGCCAACTGCATTCCAAAATACATAAATAATGCCTGTGTGAAGCATTTGTAAGGAAAATTCTCGCGGGAGAGAACGCAGTAAGGGTAAAATCTTTCCGTGGCAGGGACAGCTGCCACCGAGACCTGTCACTCCACCCATCACCGCTAGTGGCAGCTGTCACTCGACCTGCCACCGCTATATGCGCCTGTCACTCGACCTGCCACCACTATATGCGCCTGTCACCCGACCTGCCACCGCTATATGCGCCCGTCACTCGACCTGCCACCGCTATATGCGCCTGTCACTCGACCTGCCACCACTATATGCGCCTGTCACCCGACCTGCCACCGCTATATGCGCCTGTCACTCGACCTGCCACCGCTATATGCGCCTGTCACCCGACCTGCCACCGCTATATTCGCCTGTCACCCGACCTGCCACCGCTATATGCGCCTGTCACTCGACCTGCCACCACTATATGCGCCTGTCACCCGACCTGCCACCGCTATATTCGCCTGTCACCCGACCTGCCACCGCTATATTCGCCTGTCACCCGACCTGCCACCGCTATATGCGCCTGTCTCTCGACCTGCCACCGCTATATTCGCCTGTCACCCGACCTGTCACCGCTATATTCGCCTGTCTCTCGACCTGTCATCGCTATATTCGGCTGTCCCACGACCTGTCCCGAGTCTTGTCACGGCTATACGCGCCTGTCCCGCGCTTTGTCCTGGCTATATTTGCCTGTCCCGCGCCCTGTCACGGTTATATGCGTCAGTCCCGCGACCTGTCACGGCTATACGCGCCTGTCCCGACTCCCGCGACATGTCACGGTTATTTCCGCCAGTCCCGCGACCTTTCACGGCTATAGGCTACTATACGCGCATGTCCCGCGACCCGTCACGGCTTTATGCGCCTGTCTCTCGACCGGTCACTGCTGTCACGGCTATATAGCCTACGCGCCTCTTACTCATGGTTAAATAAATCTAGATATGGGCTAGTTAATATTCTATGCAGCCTATTCTACACAATATAGTAGGCCTAATAATGATTATATTTAATATAGGCTATATGCTGTTTGAGAAATATTTCGAAAAAAAAAAAGAAACTCCTTTTATTATTATAATTAGCCTACTATTAATAATTAGCCTATTATTTGCGAATTTCCCCACTGTAAAATAAAATAAAACAATCAGGCGAGCTATCATGATTTCTGGAGCGCGTCTCATAAATTAACTGAAACAAAAGCCTATCTAAAGCTTGAAATATGCAAATGTCCACTTTAAACGAATTAAGCAAATACCGATTATACAGTCCGAAAGGTGCATTTCTCTAAAGCGCAGAGAGATAGGCCTATGTTTAGCCCACACTATAAAACAGTTTATTTAAACAATAAAAATCCATCTTTATTTTTCAGACACATTAATTATGATTAGCCTATAAATCACCTATAAATCATCTGCCTCGTCCCCCAAAATGTGCCGCATGATTCAACCAGGCCTCCTGTTTAGATGCGGGATGCATTGCATTGTTTTTAAAATCCTTTTTTTAAAATGGATAATTTCTTGCATTTTCTAAAAAAACTACATTTAGGCTACTTTTATCTTTAAAGTCCATTTTTAGAGGAAAAATCTCAGTAGGCTATACTAAGCGAAAAAATAATAATAATAGCACAGATCAAAAACTGTAAAAGATTTGGTTATAAGTTATAAATAATTTTATGTTAAACATATTACTGTCTTCGGTGAACTATTAGCTATCAAAATCCATTTAGCTACATAGGCTAGGCCTAGCCTAAGACGCTTTTATCCACACACACAAAAAAAGAACAGAGCAATTCGTCAAATGTCAGTCTAGACAATAATAATGGGCTAAGATTATAACAAACACAGGTTTTTGACGCATCCAAGTGTTTGTGGAGCGCGCATGCATGTCACTGAGTCGCAGCCGCAAACACTAGCATGTTCCTATCAACAGTGGAACAATTTAAAATAATCTAGCATTTCTGGTCATAGCCTACAGAAAAAATACATTAGCCTATAGGCTACATAATACATTATTTGTAACTACTTTTATTTGTGTAAACTCACAATAACACGGTGTGTATTTGTAAAAATAAAATAAAACAATCAGGCGCGTTTTTCTTTCATGATCTCCGGAGCGCGTCTCATAAATGAGCTGAAACAAAAGCATATCTAAAGCTTGAAATATCCACTTTTAAACGAACAAATTCTAATCGAAAGCAAATACCGTCTGATTATACAATCCGAAAGAGACATTTCTCTCTAAAGGTGCATCCGCTTCACAGCGGAGATGGAGATGTTTAGCCAGTCACTAGAAAACTGTTTATTTAAACAATAAAAATCCATCGTTATTTTTTTAGACACATTTATTATGATTAGCCTATAAATCACTTATAAATCATCTCTATGTATGGTTCCCGAGACATGCTCTTCTCATTTAGCACTGCGGGCAAAATATAGTTTTTTTTTCTAATTTGATTTTAGAAAGTAAAAAATTTTTTTCCATATTAATTTGCGAATATTTTAAATGTTTAATAAAGGCAAAAAGTCAATGTTATTTATATTTTGTGCACAAACACTTGGATATGCGTCAAAATCTTGTGTTTGTTTGTGATAATCTCAGTATTATTATTGTCTAACCTGTAGCCTATTATGACTGACATTTGACGAATTTCTTTGTTTTTTTTTGATAAAAGCGTCTTATAATTATCTAAATATGTAGCCTAAATGTAATAATAATAGCCTAATTATTATTATTAGGCCTATTATTTGTGTTTATAACTTTAAATGAGTTCACTTAAGACAGGAATATGTTAATCATAAAACAATTTATGAATGTTTTATTTTTATAGGCCTATAACCAGTGGTGGAAAGAGTACTGAAAAAGTATACTCAAGTAAAAGTACTGTTACTTGTCAAAAAATGTAGTGAGAGTAGAGTAAAAGTACGTGTCCTAAATACTACTCAAAGTAGGAGTAAAAAGTAGCCCTTTTAAAAGTACTCAAGAGTAGTGAGTAGTGAGTATTATGCTATGAATGTTAGTCCACCGTATACCCTGCAAAACTGAAAAATGTTGCTTACTCTTTTTTTTATATGAATCACAGATTCATATAAAAAAAGAAAGAAAAAAAGAAACAGTATTTCGTTATTTCTCCAACAGTTTATTTTTGACTGCTACCACCAAAAATACAGCCAAGTAATATGAGAAAGCAACCAATAGTCTGGAAACATTTGACAAAAATTCTAGAGAGGTTTTCTTGCAGGTTAAATGAAATTGAAGGTTGCAAAGCATTGTACATCAACAATTTTACATGAAAGGTGAGCCAATAGCAGGAATTACATTAATAAGTCAATATAACCTGTAATAACGGACTCTCAACATCTAAAAGTCTCTCAACATGAACGCAGACTTGCAGCGATTTTAAAGTAGGGGTCAAAAATGAGCTTACTTTTTGAATTTGTTGTTCAGTTTTACAATGAGCTGATTCTCAAAATTTGTACTATCCAGCCTTGCTCGTCTTGGTGTAAACAGCTGCCCAGCACAACTAAAAAGGCGCTCACATGCTGCAGAGGCAGGCAAGGGTGTGTTCAGTTTAAGGCTCAACTTTTTCACCAAAGGAAATGAGTGAAGCAGTTCCATCTCTTCTGAGGCACAAGCCAAGTATCCATCCAAGTCAGATGCTCTTGTGGATGGAGCAGTCTTAATGGAAGAAAAGAAGTCATCCTCGTCAGAGACATGCTGCGATTCGTTTTCCTGGGTGTCCTTCATGGCATCAAGATGACGCAGGATGTAATCCATTCCTATGATATACACATAATACAGAAATTAGTGATGATTGTGATAATGCTGATAGACAAACTATGTGGTCTGGACCAAGTATTGGGGTTGTCATGGATAATTTAGAAATTAAAATTAAAGCTGTTCACTTGCTACATAAGCACTGCAGCATTTAACCCTATAACCCTCGTCTTTTCTAACATAGTTTCAAAATCTGACCGTGCAAGACTAGGCAAGTAAATAAACATTGAACCAATAATTTAACTCCACACAAACTTTTTCCATATGCAGTGGAACAGTAACGAAATGCACCCATGAGTCTAAACTGATATTAAAAAACAAAAAGCTGCATGTGTTCATGCTTTCATAGATATTGGCATAATATCAATTACATAATACATTTACAAATTGACATAATATCAATTTCATCAGGTAATCTGTACTCCAATACAAAATATCTTACCTGCTTTTATGATGTGGGCCTTGTCCGTCCATGACGTTTTGAATTTGGGAAGAAGAATTGCAGCACTGATGAGTTCTGGATCTTCCATGAACTCCCCAAAGCGCTTTTGTAGACCCCGCTGCAGAGCATGAATAAGTGGAAGACATACCTTGACTGAAGCCTCCATCTTTTTGAGCTTTGAATCAAGAAGATAGATTGTGGGAAGCAGCCACCCCATCTGAGTGTTTGTTTCTGACTGAAGGATGTTCAAGGCCATGGATACAGGCTTCATCACAATGCAGTATTCAGAGAGGTAAGAAACTTCAGCAGGATTCAGCCTATTTAATAAATAAATAAGTCAAAATCAAAAACACAAACACAAACATCTTAAAAGAATAGTTCACTTAAGATTTAAAATTGTCATTTACACACCCTCAAGTTGTATCAAACCTGTCCCGAATGAAGTTCTTTCTTCTGCTGAACACAAAGGAAGCTATTTTGAATGTTGGTAACAAACCACACAGTTGATAGACCATATTGACAGTATTTTTTTTTGTCCAACCAATTGAAGTCAATAGGGTCCAACAACTTTTTGGTAACCGAATACTGACATTCTTCAAAATATCTTATTTTATGTTCAACAGAAGAGACATTAATACAGTTTTGAAACAACATAAGGCAGTGTGACAGTTTTAGTTAAGTGAACAATTCCTTTACTGTTCCAATTAGAACAAAGTGAGGTTGAACAAACAGACTTACATTTTAATTTTGAATACTGCACATACATTTCGAAGGGATGCTTCTTCCTGCTCCTTTAGGATCCGCATTACCCTCTCTGCAGCATTGTACACTGAATTCCATCGTGTGTGGTTGGGCTGAATGAACTGCAGCTTACATTCTTCTTGCACAATCTCAGCACTGATGGCAGACCGGCTGGTTTTATTGTATAATGCCTGGCATTTCGCAAATGTTGAACGGGAAAGCTTCTTAAATGTCTCACTGCTGTCCTCTGCCTTGGAAGCATCCACAGTAGCCACCAAATTAAGGAGATGACACGCACAGCGCTGATGCTTGGGTAGATGATACTCCAACCCACTGTTAGTGTTTAAAATGGAAGAGGTGTCCTGAACTTCGAATCCTTCTGCATCATTCTCATCATCCAGTGTCACTGCCTCAGCAGAATCAGCCTCAGCATCAGTTAACTCTTGCTGACTCTGTTCACCATACACTCTAAAGGCTTTGATAAAATTTGATCCACTATCAGTTGTTGTTCTGACAATTTTTTCTGAGATACCATATTCCGTGTGGATGTCATCCAAGGTCCCTGCGAGCAAATCAAATGTATGTGAACCTTTCAAGCGTCTGAAGGCAATGGAAGCAGATCTTCTTTCCAGAGTAGGTTCATCAATCCAGTGTGCTGTTACCCCAATGTAACTGCGTTGTCGTGCGGTCCAACAGTCAGTAGTGGTACCTATAAAGTTGACTTTTGCCATCTCAGCAATGATGTTTTTCTTTATTTTTGCGGCTGCTTCCTCAATTCTAAGCTTCACAGTTGGTCTGGACATAACAGTACAGCTAGGTTGCATTGTACAGATTAGATTTTTGAATGTAGGAAGTTCAACAACGGTAAAGGGCTGAAGGCTTTCACAGACAAAATCAACAACAAGCCTGTCAACTGTGGACTGAGTAACCTGCCTGCAGGACACAGGGAAGTCTTTAATCTTCATCTGTTTCACAGCTGAATCACACCTCTGTTCTTCGGAGTTCTTTCTTTTCAAGATGCATTCATTGTACTGCTTTAATTTCATTGGATGTTTTCGCTGTAAAAAGAATACACTTCAGAATTGAGTAACTCACAATTTTCATTTTTGCGTGCAATTAAAAAAAACTTGATTTAAACATAAATCTGATGTTTTATGAAAGGGAGTAAATCAACATTGGAGAAAATGTTACATTAAAATAATATCCACATCAATAAGTAAACAGAAAGGAGGTTAATGCATTTATATGCTAAACGAAATTGATGTAAGGGACAAAAAAAATCTAGCAGTGATGACAGGTAATGCCTAATTGGAAGCCCGGTGAACAAACTAAATTAAAGTTTTTTCCGTATGCATGGCATCGCAAGCTCGTGCAGTGCTAACAGAACCTTTGTTCGTGTGTGTTAGAAAATATAACATTCTGAAGTTTATTTTTAGTAATTGTTTAGGCAAGTTCATGATTTTCAGTCACCATACAGTAACCAGCAACAATTATAAAGCGTGCGTGCCTTTACTCTAGGCTGGTTGCTATCGTGGTTGCTGTGATCGCGTCATCAAAAACAGCATGCAACGTTATTGTCCGGTAAAATGTATTCGATCTGTGTGTAGATCATCACAGTGCTTTTTTTTTTTTTGCTATCTTTGGCAGAATGATTTTGGTTGTCAAACATTCACACTCATGATAAATACCATAAAACATGAGCAAAATTGCGCATTATATGATGAATTTTATTATACAAAATTATACTCAACAGATATTCGAAACTTACCTCAATGTGTTTTTTCAAATTGGACGTAGAACTCTTGAACGCCGAGATTTCAACTGGCTTAGGCAAGCAAAGTTGGCATGACATAATTATACAATTGCCCTTCTTCGTCTTCACTTGAAACAGCTCTTTCAGGTATGGCCAAGGATGTTGAAGTGCTGAATTTGAGCTGTCGCATGCTGACGAATCCACCACCACTCTTCCTCCCTCCGGCTCTTCCTCCATGATTAAAATAAATTGGCGCCAGGTGTCTCGAAGTCTGTTGACGCTGGTTTGAATGCAAGTTTTCCGCGCGCGCGATTTGATTTGACGGGAATCACGCATGGAGTCACATGACTTATAAAATAAATAAATATTAATATAAATGTAGCGACGGCAGGTTCAGGGAAAATAGCGCAGTAAAAGTACCGATACTGCACTTAAAATTTACTCAAGTAAAAGTAAAAGTACACTATTTTTAAACTACTTAAAAAAGTACAATTCCTTAAAAAAACTACTCAATTACAGTAACGAGAGTATTTGTAATTCGTTACTTTACACCACTGCCTATAACTTTGTGTTTGTGTTACATTTATTTATTTTTTGTATGTGAAGTCCTTTTAAAAACAATGCATCCCGCATCTAAATAGGAGGCCTGTTTGAAATTAATCATGCGGCACACTCTGGACGAGCCACAAATCCGTGCGTACGGATTACAAACCCGTGAGTACGGATTGCGAAAGCGTGGGCACGGTTTATCAATTTGGGTACAGATTGCAAAAACTGAGGGCACGGTTTACAAATCTGAGAGCACGGATTAGGAACTCGTGGGTACGGTGTATTAATTCGTGGGCACGAATTGTTAAACCGAGGGAACAGTAGAATTCGTGAGTAGTTTTTTTCCCCCACAGGTGACTTCCCGGGCTCCGTAAATAATATTGCGTTCATATTTTGGACTCATCTTATTTATTTATTTTTTTTATATAGGCTATGGTTTATTAATATGATTTGTACTGAGTTTGGTCTTTTAATATCACTGTCTTAGTGCACTGAGCCACGAAGCGTTTTTGTTAGGATGTCCTGAGGGACAGGCGCGTAGCCGTGACAGGTCGCGGGACTGGCGCGTATATAGCAGGGACAGTTCGCGGGAGAGGCGCGTATAGCCTTGACAGGACGCGGGATAGGCACGTATAGCCGTGACAGTTCGCGGGACAAGCGCGTATAGCCGTGACAGGACGCGAGATAGGCGCGTATAGCCGTGACAGATCGTGGGACAGGCGCGTATAGTCGTGACAGGACACGGGATAGGCGCGTATAGCCGTGGCAGGACGCGGGACAGGCGCGTATAGCCGTGGCAGGACGCGGGACAGGCGCGTATAGCCGTGACAGGTCGGGTGACAGGCGAATATAGCGGTGGCAGGTCGAGTGACAGCTGCCACTAGCGGTGACGGGTGGAGTGACAGGTCTCGGTGGCAGCTGTCCCTGCCACGGAAAGATTTTACCCCCTCTCAGAGAACGCGCACTGCAAGTGTAACGTTATAACATCAAGCAAAGCGGCAAAACCTGTTCAATGAAGCCCGCGAATGTCCTTGTAATTCGGTTCAATCCCGAACTTTATGAAATAACGTTACTATGTTTCGGAAGGTAGCGGTGTTGTGTGTGTGTGTGAGTGAGGAAGAGAGAGAGCGAGAGAGAGAGAAAATAGAAGCAAGCAGAACACGGTTCGTTTCTAAAGCACGCGCAGTGTCATCACGCATCTGTGTTTAAAAACTAAGCTCAGACTCGATTCTGAAATTCTCTGAATCGATCCAGGATTGTTGAGGAGAGAATAAATAACACAATATCACATACATTAAAAATAAACTGTTCTTTTCTGAACGCCAGACCGCGTAGCGTGGCAAGTTGATGGTTTATCTTGCAGACTGCTTTTCTGTCACGTGACAGTGTAATCGCAGCTCTTGCGATTACAAAATCGCGTTTCATCATATCGCGATTTTATCGCAAATGCAATTAATCGTTCAGCCCTAGTTTCTGCTCAACCTATTTTGCTATTTTTGTTTTGTATCTGAACAATTATATTTACTAGCCAAATAATGTATGTTTTAGCAATCTCATTTCAAAATAAAAGTGTTTAATAGTTGTTGTTTGGAAATTTGCTGTTTAAATCAAGGGCCAGCCCTACCTAGACTTTAAGATTGTTAGTTTTGGCTGTCCATGTTAAAGCAAGGCATTGCACTGTATAAAAGTTTATTATGCTGGTTAATTTGTGCGCTTTTCTTTCAGCTGTGCACAGTGTCTGGATTATCGGTGATAGCTACATGCGACGGGGCCAACAGCGAGCAAGGGAGACCATGGGGACCAATCTTGGTCTTCATTCCCAGGTCCAGTGGTTCGGCAGGGGTGGCTTGTGTTGGAGAGACCTTCTTTCCTTCTTCAAACAGTGCCTTAAAGGACGAACCCTTCCGAATGTGCTGGTCATTCACTGTGGAGGGAATGATCTTGGCCGTGTGACGAGAACGAAACGAAATGAAGGATCTGCGTGAAATTAACGTGAAGTTTCCTCAGATGAAAATTGTGTTTTCATCCATAAATCAAAGACGCCACTGGAGGCATGCCCCCCCTATAAAGGTCGAGAAAATGCGCAAGTTTGTGAACAACATCATGGCAAAGTTCGTGCCCTGTGTCAACGGATGTATTGTACTCCATGGACAAATTATGTACAATAAGCCTGAGATGTTTTTGAGGGACGAAGTTCACATTGAATATGCTGTGTCTTGGTCAGAGAGGGAAAGAGACCGCCTCAAACTGTGCAGTGTATGTTATTTT